AAACAAAAGGTTTTGGTGGGATCTACACTTTCCAGTGAAAGCCCTATTTTAAGTGGTGTCCTACAATGCACCGTTTTAGGTCCTCTTTTCTTCTTGCTTTACATTAATGATATCTCGGCAGCAGTTAAACATTCTCAATCATTTATTTATGCCGATGATCTCAAACGTGTAGATTCTTTCAAAAAATCTACGAGCCATAATTGCCTGGAGCAAATCCCTGCTGACTTGCTTGTTCTCTCAGCTTCGAGCTCAAAATGGCTAATGGAATTCTCTCCGTCTAAATGTCGCTATATGTGTTTTGGACCTGACAGACTACCCCAACCAGTGGTCTTTCAAGGCACACCTATGACTGAATGTACCACCATCAAGGATTTAGGTTTAAGCTACACTAGTAATCTTGATCTCTCGCCACACGCTGACAGAATTACAGCCAAAGCTGCCCAGATTTGTGGCATTATTTCTTACAATTTCTATCTTCCTGAAATTAAATTAAGGCTCTATCGTATGTTTGTGCTTCCAATTCTCGAGTATTGTTGCCCTTCTTTGGTTTGATGAATGAAGCTAGTCGTTTAAAAATTGAAAATGTCCAAAGACGTTTTTCTAAAAAACTTTTAAATAAGGAACATCCCAATATCTCCTACTCAGATAGATGCCAGCTAATAAACCTAAAATTTTTATGGGTTCGAAGACTAGAAGCAGGCTTCGGTCTACTCTTTCGCATTAATCATAGTTCAAATTGTCCTCGGATTTCAGCACTCACCCCTAGTAGTCTCCCATACAATCCACGCAACTCGTCCTTGATTATACTTCCTCCAGCGTCCTCCACCTCTAATCGCTCCTTTTTTCGCTTCCAGATATACTTTCCTCTGGAATAACCTTCCAATAAATATAAGATCTTCCGAAAATCTACACACCTTTAAGAGAAGACTACGCCTTTATCTGAATACTGACTCGATTAAACTTTTATTTTCCTCATCCTTCCCTGACAACTTTTTCTATGACACTGAGAAAGGACCACCGGGAATTTAGTATGCCGCCATTAAATTTCCGTATCTGTTCACATTTCCTTCCTTTGTGAGTAGTCTCGCTTCCTAAGATCCCTCACCAGAAATGTTAATTTTTTCAAGTTTTCAGTTCATGCATCGTGCCCTCACAGAATGCGCTCTATCGACGCTCTTGGTGAAACCCTCTGTATTCGCCATATACTAGTAGTCTGGTCGTATCTCCCTTGCCCAATCCTCGAATGGATTCGGATGAATGTAACCGACCGCATCTGGGTCCCTATCGCCCCGAGACTGGTTTTCAATTTCGCCACGTATTTGCCTTTTTCAAGGCCACATACAGGCCAGTCCTGACCGACCCGCCTACTTACCCCTTCATGAAATCTGTAATACAATGCCATATACAGCTGACATTTATTTCGGCCCTCGATTGCAAATATCTCTTGCCGGAGAATTTGTGGCATACTTCCCCGGCGCAAATTACAGGACTAATTAGTGGTTCTGTTGCTTGCAGTATTGGGGTGGAATCTCCCCCCTGATACCGTGGGAAACAACGCCGAGATCCGAAAATTCCAAGAATGGTAGAACTTTCGAGTTGGTGTACTCGAAACCCAAATCCAAAGGATTTTTTCCACGCGAACGTCAGTCTGCCCTATACTACCAAATAAAATCAACGAAAACTCGGATAACTGGGGATTCGACTCACATTCGAAGGACGCGCATGATTCAGGAACACCTTTGCGTCTCTTCCCCCGTATCTTTCCCGATATTTCCGTTCCCTAATAAACACTCCCTCCTTCGACGATATCTTCTGATTAGGAACGATGATCTGCCGCTTGCTTGCTACATGACATCCTGAAACTCGAGTCGAAAATAATTTCAGAGTCAGGCCGATCTCAATGTTCTTCAATTTCCATGAAGGACATATTATTCATGCCCCAAAAAAACTACAAAACTGCACACTTCAATTTTTATGTAGTACATATCGTGTTTTAAGTTTTTTTTCCTGAGTCCAAAGGGGACTGACAATTCTTTAGGTCTGCTATAATAAACCTATTTATATTATTTGTGTATATTTATTCAATTAATCTGCGTCCCTTCATTGCGTGCAGCCAATCCATGCTGGCTTGCTTGCTCCCTCAGCATGGAGTTCAAAATGGCTAGTGGAATCCTATCCGTCTAACTGTCGGTATGTGTGTTTTGGACCCGAAAGGCTACTCCATTCAGTGTTCTTTCAAGGCACACCTATGACTGAATGTATCACCATTAATGATTTAGTTTTAAGCTACACAAATAATTTTGATCTCTCACCACACGCTGACCGAATTACAGTCAAATCTGTCAGATTTGTGGCTTTATTTCTTGCGATTTCTATCTTCCTGAAAGTAAATTAACACTCTATCGTATGTCTGTACTTCCCATTCTCGATTATTGTCGCACATTCTTTGGTTTGATGAATTAGGCTAGTCTTTTAGAAAGTTCAAAATGTTCAAAATCATTTTGCTAGTAGACTCTTGGGTACGGAACACCCAAATATTTCCTATACAGATAGATGTCAGACTACTAACCTAAAATTTCTATGGGTTTGAAGACTAGAATAGATAGATAGATAATTTTTATTAAAGACCCGTCGGGGTCCCATCAAAGCAAGTTAAAATAAATTTACATGCGAGTCTTAGACGAGGTAGGCCGAATCTTTACAAAATGCAATTCATAGTTTCTGAATTAGAAGTCCATTGAGAAACATGATGATTGAGGGGTGAAAAAAAACTCCTTACAAAAAGTTAAAAATGATTGGATTGATTTTACAGGAGAAAAAAAAACCCTCCATAAAAATAATAACAGAAAAAGCGAGCAGGACTGGCCTGTAGGTGGCAGTATATAACGGAATGTTGACGGTCATCGTCAGGGTATCAATAAATGTCCGCCTTGTTGGGTACGAATGTGGGTCAGACAGGAGTGGCTTGCAAATGGCATTGTATACGAGATTCACAATTGAGATCGTCTGGGCCGGATTGGTACGCCGCGTCAAAGAGGCCAGACGAGAGGAACCCAGATGCGATCGGCCACAGCACGCTTCGAGCTCAGCCGAGCAGTGAGGAAGGGAGGTACGACCGAACTACTAGCAGACAGTGAATACTGAGGGTCCCGCCGTGAGCGTCGACAGACCGCATGAGGTCGGAATGCGGGAGATGACATCAAAAACCGCGAAAATTGTCGCTATAGGGGAGGAGTGATAGCAGTGGATTTAGAAACCAATTCAAAACAGTGGTTTCTAATGATATAATTAAGAGTTACCACTTGATCTACCACTAAATCCCAGGAGGACCCTTCTCGAAGTCAAGAATCTGAGTGTTCGGGAATGAGACCGTTAACAGTGCCTTTATGCTTTCCGGTGTAAGATGGATGCGTAATTTCGACTTGAATACCAGTAACTTAGGCGATAATCTAATTTCAGGCGGAAGATTATTCCAAAGGAAGGCATATTTGGAAGCAAAGAAGATGGAGCGCTTAGATGTAGTACAAAGAGGCGGCGGAATCACCATGCAGGAGTTGCGCGTGGCATAAGACCGATCTCTTGGAGTGAGAGTGTCAATGTGCGGAAGACTGGAGCTAGAGTTGATGCAAAAAAGGAAGCAAAGGCCAGCTTCGAGTCTTCTAACCCACAGAAACTTCATGTTCGCAAGCTGACATCTCTGAGTATAAGAAATACTGGACGAAGCTTGAGAGAACAGTTTACGGGTGAAAACCCTCTGAACATTTTCGAGTTTATTACGGTCGCAGGCGTTCGTTAAACGGAAGAAAGGACAGCAGTATTCGAGGACTGGAAGAACAAACATTTGATAAAGTCTTAGCTTAATTTCCGGAAGGAAAAAATTATGCGATATGAATCCACATATCTGCGCGGCTTTGGCAGAGATTCTATCTGCATGAGGTGATAAAGCAAGCTTATTTGTATAACTTAGACCTAGGTCCTTTATGGTGAGGCATTCTGAGAGCGGGCTTTCGTATCCTCTCTATCTCATTTATAATAGTTCAAATATTCCTCCAATTACAATCCTTGCCACCAGTAGTCCTCCATACAATCTTCGCAATCCTTCCTCGATTATACTTCCCCCCGCTTCCTCCACCTCTAAGCGCTCTCTTTTTTTCGCATCCATGTATTCTTTTCTCTGGAATAACCTTCCAACAAATAAAAGATCTTCAGATAGTCTACACACTTTTAGGAGAGGGCTGCGCCCTTATCTGTATACTGGCTCCTTTAAACTTTCACTTATCTCATTCGTCCCTGAAAACTTTCTCTATGACACTGAGGAAGGGCCATCGGGCATCTAGGATGCCGCCACAAAACTACTGTACCCAGGTCACATTTTCTTCTTTTGTGTGTAGTATCGTTTCCTGAGATCCCTCATCAGAAATGCCAATTTTTTTCGCTTTTTAGCACGTGCATCGTGCCTCTCACAGGATACGATATCCTTCCTGGCAAATTCTCTCTGACAGATATCGTGGCTAGATTGACGTACACGCCCTAAGCCGCCTCAGTTTCACTGGTCGTCGACACACATTAGAAACCCACTCTGGCCCCAGCAATTTAATCCCCCACCCCTAATCGTTCATTTTCGCAGATCCTGATATCAACTCCCCATTTCGACCTCAAGTGGTCTGCTGACGATCACATTGGAATCCTGTGTTTTCGCTATTTGCTAGTAGCTTGGTCGGTCACCAAATAGACCTGAGGGTCGTATTATCCCATCTACGCTTTGATAACCGACCTAGCGTTTAATGTCCCATTCTCGGCTGGACTATAAACGGACTGTTTTCAGTTCAGTTCAGTTCAGTTCAGTTTATTGAGGGAAATAGGCGTAAGCCTTTGAGTACCCTATTTTCAACGTAAAAAATTTGTGGTGTACAGATAGATGTTCTGGGCTGAAATAGTTCGAACACGCCCATAATGGTGGGACAAAATGAGAAGGAGTTACAGGGGGTGAGCTCGACTTCTCATCGCTCTTGCTCATTTCGGAACATAAATATGTCCAGATTCTTCTTAAAACTTTGTATAGATGGTGACATCACAACATCTGCGGGAAGCTCATTCCATGGTTTGACCACCCAAACCGAGAAGGAGAACTTCCGCACATCCAGCCGTGCCTGCTGAGTGCGCAGTTTTAACGGGTGACCTCGGAGGTTGGTCGTGGTAGCAAATTCGAAAAAGTCCTCGAAGGCCAGACTGCAATCCAAACCCTTTACAATACGGAAGGCTTGCAAGAGATCCCCGCGAAGTTGCCTGTAACTCAAAGGAAAGAGGTTCAGATTTACTAGGCGGGTTGCATAAGGAAAGGAGCTTTGACCCCTAACCATCTTCGTGGCTCGCCTCTGGACTCTTTCGAGGCAGTTTTGATCCACAGCAGCCCACGCCCTCAAGCTTGTATGCCGTACTCTAAATGCGGCCGGACGAATGTTCCGAATGTCTTAGAGAAAGCTTCTTCGTCAAAGTCCATAAACGCACGCTTGATGGCGTACAGTACGGACATTGCGGTTTTTGCCACCCTCGAACAGTGGGCGGATGGTTTTAGGGAACTCCTCGTCAGCACACCGAAGTCCCTTTGGGCTTCGACCTCTTGTAGGGCTGCACCGCCCAGAAAGTAGCCTCTTGTGCTGGCGGATCTGGCTGTGTTGCCTAGGCAAAGTATGCTACATTTGGCAACGTTGAACCGCAGGAGCCAACGGTTTGACCACTCCTCCAACCGATTCAGATTCATCTGCAGTCTGTCTTCATCGGCAAGACCCCGAATTACACTCCATATCTTCATGTCATCCGCAAACATTGCTACTTCACAGTCTAAATCTCTTGCGGCATCGTCCACGTAGATAAGGAACAAAATGGGTCCCAGAACTGAACCCTGGGGGGCACCACTATCGGCCATAGCCGGATCTGATTTTCCCCGACCGACGCACACAACCTGGTGTCGACCAACATGGAAGTTTTCGATCCATTTAAGGAAGTTGCCACTGATCCCTATTTTTTTAGCTTATGTAAGAGCCTTTGGTGTGGCACAGTGCCGAACGCCTTCTGGAAGTCGATGAAGGCTATGTGGACCGTGCGCCTGTCGTCGAGAGCTCGGGTCCAGCTCTGGAGAGATTGCAGCTGGTTTGTCGAGCAGGATCTTCCTTTCCGGAACCCATGTTGGCAGTTCGATAGCAGGCCGTGAACTTCCAGGAATTGCATCAGTTCACTCTTTATGATCCTTTCCATAACTTTGCAGAGAATGCATGTCAAGCTTATGGGCCTGTAAGTTGTCGTCGCTGCCCTGTTACCTCCTTTGTGTAGCGGAGTAATAATGGCCAGCTTCCAATCGATAGGAAGTGTTCCAGTGTCAAACGACGTTTGAAAGAGCATCGACAAAGGCGCAGAGAGCTCACGGGCAAGTTCCTTGAGAAGCTTGGGTGGAATCTCGTCTTGTCCTGGCGACTTCGATTCGTTCAATGCCTCTAACTGTCTTCGGACAATGCCTTCTGAGAAGAGTATATCGCTGACGCTTGGAGTCGGCATTTCTTCTGTGGAGAGAAGGAAGGAACCTTGCCTCGTTTGTGCAGACTGATTGGAAAAACCGTGAAAAATACGCAGCTTTATCCCTACTATCAGCGATCTCAACGCCATCAGTAGTCTTTATCAAGGGGATTTGATGCCTGTTCCTTGTACTTCGTCGGAGGTAGCTGTAGAGCAGTTTCGGGTTCTGTGTTGCTTTTTGTAGCACGTTCTTCTCGAATTCCCGCCGCGTCTGCATTATCAGCTTCCTCAGTTTGTTCCTCTGTGTCTTGTAGGTGTTGAAGCATTCAGCTTGTCTAGTGACGCAGTATTTTCTCCACAATTTGTGCTTCCTGTTGATTTCTTTCTTGAGATTGCTATTTAGCCACCCAGGACGTTTGTTCAGTCTTACACTAGTCATTGGGCAGTGGTTGTTGATGAGCTGCAGAAGGACATTCTTGAACAGCTCCCAGTTATCGTTGGCACTTCCCGTAAACAATGAGCCCCAGTCAAGACCGGATAAGTCTGCCCTCATCTGATTGAAGTCGCCCCGCCAAACATTACGCCTTTTGTGGTCTGGAGTGTGTGAAATGGAGAATAACGAATAATGCCACATAAGCACTACGTGGTCACTTCGGCCAAGGGGTGGCATGGAGGCGATCTCGTCTATGCTGTCTGGTGTTTTCGTGGAGACCAGATCCAGGCAGTTTGCCCTTTGTCCTTCGCGTGTTCTCGTTGGGAACATTACATGTTGTGTGAGGCACGCATTTAATGTCTTGCTCAACAGGCGGTAATCGAATGCCGATTTTGGACCTGACGCTTGGAGGGTATTCCAGTTTGTTCCTGGTGCGTTGAAGTCGCCCATGATCATGATGTTAGGTCGACTGGAAAATGTCTCCAACTGCTCCAATAGTTGAGTGTCGGCGATTCGGTCTGTCCGAGGTGGTCGGTAGACAGTGAGGACATCGAGACACGGGGAACCGGTAGCCTTGATGGTTAACCAGATAGCTTCCGTACTGCATGCAAACTTGGTGGTGTTATCCGACACTGCCAGACCTTCATTCACATACACAACAATACCACCACCCTGACGATGTTCCCTGTCCCTCCGATAAATTTGGTATCCAGGCAAGGCTACTTCGTTATCGCTAATATTCCCGGACAGCCAGGTCTCAGTTATATTATGACCATGTATTTACTTGATAAGAACTGATAAAATGTTTCCGTATATATACGTAAACATATGCATGGTTTTTTAGTCGACGTCTATCAATCGAGTTTTCCAAGGCTATGTCTATATCCTTTATATATACTAAATTATATTAACCAATTTACCTTTCTGAAGCGACAGTTTTTTCTCCGTCGATGTTTACCGATTCATACTCATCCTCTTTTTTCATGAGGAATTTTTCTCGCTTCTCGCTGACCGTTTTTATATGTGACTGGTTGTTCTACAACCGAACGTTCAATAATGTGCAGAATCTGTCGATTTGCTAAAAGATTTAATCGAAAATTTATTACTATGACGAGACCTCAGAGCGTCTTTCAATAAAATGTTTTACCGATTTATCGTTTGTAAGAGTTGTATGTAAGTTTGCAGGTTTTTTAAACCAACTGAACGCTTTTATACCACTGCGTCCATATCCCACAGCCCAGGGAATTTAGGCTGGGAGGACATGGACCAATACGTGATATACGACTGTGACTACAGCATAATAGTGGATTGAGCCATAGATCCTGCACAAATGAACTAGGGGATAGGCTGGGCGTTATCTCCCCTAAGAGTGTTACCAATGCCAATTTCTGGATACTTAAATTTATTCTGTGAATTCCGGCGATTAGCAAACGAATGTGCTCCAGGAAGACAACCTTGTCAGAGCGTACCTGCCGATACCGGTTACGTTATAATCAATAGCCATAAGAAAATTATTGATCGGACGAGTTTTGCACCGTTCCCCGAAGAGCAAGTGGTCGTTCCTGGCAGTGATATTAGGGGACTATATGCGACTAGACCTGCCGGTGACTGAGTGCACTTGCCACTCATGGTTTGTCCCGTTAAGGGGAAAAATGCTTCGAACCTTTGTTTTCCCCAAGTTTATCTAAATGCCCGTTAGCTGCGTTTAAACTCTTTAGAATTTGCTTGTGCTTCCCATTCCATCTGTAAACTGGTTTGGTATTTTTGATTTTCCTGTTGTTGAATCAAGCTTATTTTTACTGAATTTCTTACTATCCTAGTTAATTTCCGCAATGCCCCCTCAGTTTACTAGGTTCCGACTTAACTGCCTGTTTCGATTTCCAAATGTTATTTTTTTAATGATGTTTGGTCCGCAAGGTACAATTTTGTCTCCCTTCTAATCTTTCCCAACAAACCGTTACAGGACACATCCTGGAATTTTCGTTCAGATGGCCGTTTCATCGCAATAACCTTAGCAATAGTTACATTACTGAACACCGAAAGGCAACACCCTACAAGGGTATTTCGTGCTTCGCTTTTCAACCCCCTTCTCAAACGTCTTCTCATAACCAGCGTTGAACATTCTGCAGGGCGTAATCTGAATGGAGCGCATGCTAGCAATTGCGTAGTAGGTCATATTATTGTTGAAATTTATATTATAACCAGGAAACTGAATTACCCAAGTATTCCTCCAAACATATAAATTTTGATCTGTATTTAAATCCGTAGTTAGGAGCGTTTACAAGCTGAGAAATGTGATATTTTTTTCATTGTTGGAGACCCCTGCGATACAGTGAGGGAAATTGATTTTTGTTGTTGTTCGGATTAATGGTACGAAACAGTGTGTTTTAGTCTACTAGGGAGTGGTGGCGCGCGCTACTGGTACCCACGCCCCTTCGAGTATGTACGTCCCTAAGAGAGTTGTGCCTTGGTTTTGTATATCTGAGTATGAACAGGTCGCCAATAGTCTCAAATCATCCGATTTATCGGTTATAAAAGAGGCTGTTAGGATCATGAGAATTTGGTTGTGCCGTGTTAATGTTTCAAAAATCCCACGATCCATTTTATGTACATACGAACTAATGGTTGCCAGGCTCGAGCAGTCTACACCGGCACTGGCTTTAGCTATTATGCGCTTTATTAGCTTGGCGTCCAGTGAGGATCAGGATCGTCTGCGGAGCCCGCAGGCAATTCCGGTCTCCTCGCTAGCTAAGAAAGCTGGTTTACCGGATTGGATGTCCGACCTTCGTAACGATATAGCTCATGGGCATTTACCCACTTATGCGTTCCTCAGTGAGACTTATTCGGTGTGCATGGATTGGCTCAATGAGTTTTGGCAGTGTAACCTTCCCACAGCTGAGATGGATCTCTCGAGCGATACCGCGGATGAGGTCGATTGGAATCATTATTCACCTGAAAAGCTTACAGAGGACCTCGACTCGCCCCTCCAGGCACAAATTTTAGAGCACTCTTTTGGTGCGTATGCGTCTGGCCTGATCAACGGTGGTTCTATGGAGCCAGAGCATCTGCACAGCCTGAAGAAAATACTTCGCATTTTCAAGCACAAGAACCGGATATGCGACGTGGCTTTGAACGCCTTCTTCCGCGTCACACGGTCCGACGACGGCGGTGCCTTACAGTGGGCGAGGCTTTGGTTAGATGCTTTTCTGGCTGTCCGCGACGGGAATAATTCCGCGCTTTCGGAGTTCCTACGGCCTTGTGACCTATCCACTTTTGAGTGGCGGCCCTGCCTCGAGCATCTTTGTAGCGTGTTTTCCCCAGAAGTAGGCACAATCCTCCCAGCAGTCCTAGAGCTGTGTCATCCAAGACTGCCTGTGAGCAGGAGGGATGCTGTATTGGGCCTTTGTGGTGTAGGACAGAGACCATCTCTGAAACGTGCACATGAAGGCGTTTGCAAATGGAAACTGGAAAGATCTGTCCAATGGTGGCGACTACCTATAGGAGTTTTTCCAACTTGCAGTATGTGGTTATCTGTCCCTTTTCCTATTTTCAGATCATGCCTCGTCAGGTCGACGGAATCAAAGATTTCCTCACCAAGACCCACAGGTCGGACGCAAAATGTAAGCTCACATTTGTTAACCGAGTCCTTTGATAGCGGTGAAGATCAAGACCAACAAGGACAATGTAAAATTCAAGATCCGCTGCAGCCGCTTCCTTTACACTCTGGTGGTTACAGAAAAGGAAAAGGTCGCAAAAATCAGGCGTGCCATCCCTCCAAGTAACGTTTCCCATTCCAAATAACTTTATTTTTAGATCTCACCGTTACCGACATATAAGACCATTTGCTTCAATAAAGGTTCCAAAATGAATTCACCTCTTCCTTTTTTTCGGGGGTGTATTTTTAGATCTTTGGTGTCGTAAAGAAACTAGTAGGCCAGTATCTTTTCTTGCGTCATCTTGCTCATAATTGACCTCCTCGGTGAAATGATAAGTCTTCACTTTCTTAATTTGACCGGGATATACTTCCTTCTTAGGCACTTGCCGTCGATTTGGCAACAACTTCCTGTTGGCTGTCACCAACCACCTTTCTGGAATTAATTAAATTTTCTACGGTCCTCTTGTATGAGACCTCGAATCAGCGATCCCGCACTGCAAACCATCCACTGTTTCAAAGGGAGGAGCTTGTTAGGTAGTTGCCTGGCGACTTGGCGCCCCCACCCATAGCGTTTTAACTGGGAGACAATGTCCAAGGCCGTGTCTACTGTGCTTGCATCATAATTTTAAGGGCCTGGATATTTAAGTGGGATGGCGCGTCTCACCTGCTCTATCCACCACTGTGGGGCAGCAGAATGGTGTGGACTCCTGGACAAGCGGGTTTGCTGCGATGCCGGGCGAAGGCGTTAGGGGTGTCATGACTACTGTGGACGGTAGCAACACTATGCCAGAGGTGTCGGATGCCGCCATGGTAGGGGCTGCGGCGTTCTTCGGCATCCGCGATGTAGGTGCCCACAGGTCGTGTTGAGGTATGCGCTCATCGGGGTTTACGCAAGGTCGGCAACTCCAGGCGCCGTGTAGTCGGGCCGTACGCTATGGACTGAGGTGATTTCGCCTTCCCCAGCAACCACCGCTTACTTCTTTTGCGTTGTCTATTTGCTATCTGAGCCGGGGGCTGGACGTGCCGACCTCCGCTGGCAGCTGAGGGTTGCGCTTGAAAAGTTAGCATAGACGGTGATTTGGGGGCCTACGAGGCCGTATTACTGATTGTCAACTCGGCTTTCGGAATAACAGTGCGATATTGGTATGACTTTAAAATGGTAGCTCGGGATCGATGCGCCACAGGCCGTCTCTGGCCTGAATCCTTCATTTTGCGGCTTGCTTCTCTTAATCCAGATTCAAGTGTCTAAAGCCCCGGTATCTAGTGCAAAAGCTAAACGTGATAATTCCTCCCGGGTTCCTGTCTTCCGTGTGGTGCTGGTCTGTTTTGGGTGGGTCTCCCGGCTGTCGAGTCAAATGCCAGGTGAGGGGCAGGGGAGTCTACCACGACCTGGCCGACGTGCCGTCTTGCTCTCGGTCCGCGGCACGAGTTTTTGTGCCCTGGGTGCATGTGACCTCGGCCTTCGCAAGGTTACCCAGCTCTTGTTGACGAAACTCCACTCTGTTCCCGGATGTCGAAGTCTCCTGTCGATGCCGTCTTGGCTCTGTTTCCAGCTAGTATACCTCCTAGTGGCATTTTCTACCTTCGAGTCACGCCAGGACGACATCCAGTAACTAAGTGGACCCTTTCTATGGTGTCAGCCTCATTTTTATCTAGTTTGCAGGCCGCTTCGATGTCTACTCATAAACCCTGGTCTAGGTTCGGAAACGCCATTCCACATAGTTGTCCGCAGACGCCGACAGCGGCGATAGAAGTCTTCCTTGACAGCTTTTAAATTGGCCCAGATTCGATAAACTCGTCGGCCACGACCCAGTCCACGGAGAGGTCGCGGGCAGGTTAGGAAGTCATTGTCGTTTGGCAAGACAATGCGCTTGTAAGGGCATGGACTGGGGACGTGCCTTGACTGCTACGATAGTGATGACTGAGTCCCGTTTTGGAGAAGACACCGGCAGGGTATGTGCATTCCTTACAGAAAGGCAGTGGCCGGGCCTGCGTGCGCGTCTCCACGGGGATGATGTAGGCACGAATAAGTGTCATGTGACAGTCTGCCAGTGTCAGCTTGGTGATTTGATGGGGTGGTTGCGAGGTTTGTGGTCGCCTGCGATTGGCTGCTTTAGGGACTGCATATGCGCACTTTCCAGCACCTAGTGGGCCAGGATGACGTGATTAACGGGGCGGCGTGTGTACCAGGACGGAAAATATACGCGTTTGCGGCTCTGCAAGGTCTACTCCTACGGATGCGCACTCGCTGATGAGCTATGCGGAGCACGTAATTGCTGAGCCCGGTTCAGGTGACGTACTGCGTAACCGGCTTTCTGCGGCTGCCAACTGTCTGTGTCGACAGTAAGCCAGCAAAATGCTCTGGGACGCACCAGCCTTACTGCACTAAAACCGGAAGCCCCCCGGATTTCCCATAAGGTGGGAAGGCCTGTCACCTATGCAGACGTTCGCTTCTCAATGAGCAGAACTCGCTCCTTCTGTTGAGTGACTTCCAGGCCTACTATCAACGGGAGTTGAGCATCTCAGTTCCCTATCGCTGTTTGACTGTTCTATGCTGCCAGCGCGAGACGGGGAGCAGCGTCATTTTGTGGCCAATCCAAACATGCCTCCAGACATGGTCTGCTTGCAGGCGGAAGCGTCGATAAGGCAGATCTGGACGGCCACTTCATACTTATTGGCCGTCGTCATCCAGGTCGGGAAAACTCGGAATTTCACTTACCTAAGGTGGTCCTTCCCCGCAGGCCTCCCCGCGGCTGGGTCGTCATCTGTTCTTCAGCAGCAAGCCGAACTGCTAGGAGGATGGTCTGTCATGTGTTTTGTTGACACCGCAGCGCTGACCATAATGATGACTAAAGTAGTCTACAAAACATCAAACCACCAGAAGTCTCCATGGCATCCCACACTGACCACAGCGGACATGAATGAAGCCTGCCTTTACTGTCTGATTAAATGCGCCCAGGAGGATTCCGCCCCGCCATTGCTATTATCTCAGATGAATCACCTAGACATCCGCGGAAAGCGTCGCTCTGGTATGGTGATCACGATTCCCTCACTTTACCTCTGAAGGATTTCTGAACTGCCTGCATCGAAGGTAGTGCTTACCCTCGGAGTTATCACCACAATAGTAACTTCTCTGACATAAACGGTGGGTTTTATAGTATTTAGGTGGAACTTGCCGATACAAAGGAGAAGGCGAGCCCCAGGAAGTACTTGAAAAGAGGGAGATTCAGTCGTTAGGACAAGTTTTTTTGTCTTCGAATTTGCGTTTTACCTGGGGGTCGGAGGCGGCAGCAAATAAGGTTAGTGGAAACGCAAGAGACTGCGGTATTTGTGGGACGCAATTACTGTCCAACAACGGCTATCAGAGTTAGTACCTGTCGCATTCACCGCACATAGTCATGGTTGGTGTGATGTTTGTTCGATCGCCGCATCCAAGTTGATTGCTGCAGTTTCATCACCAACGTTGGTTTTTCGTGTGGTAATGACTCGACAATGTGGTTTATTGATAGCGTCGCTAGGAGCAGTGTTCAACCGCGCGGATCCCCTGCGACCAAGTACTGTGCCTTGGTAAAGTTGCGGGATGAATTGGAGGGAGGGGGGTGGGCTTATTGCGTTTATTGACGGACTGCAGAGAGGCGAAGAATGACCCCAGCAGCTCGCGACTAACGTGGTTGTCATCTCTCGCAGATTTACATTTGCCGTCATCCTACCATTGCTTCGTGTTCGGGCGTCCGCATCAAGCTTTGTCTCCTAGTTTGTCCTCAGCTGCACAGATCCGGTAAACGCCTCAAAGCGGTTCCATTCCTGGCCATGGGTTAACACTGGTAATGGCGAATTCGAATGCAATATTCTCGACCAGAGAGAATCGAAAGCCCAAATAAGGGCTCTGATGTGATTTTTTGGCCTTCGAATGTGCTTGGAATTTGTTCCTTCCCGTTCATCGTACCTTTCGAGGGCGTCCTTATGTAATGGCTGTTCCGATGTCTCGAAAGTCTGACTACTGATTAAGGCACAACAGTCAGTTCGCCAACACATTTCCTGAAGAAGCATCCCCTTTTCAGTTTTCTAGTATTCTGCTGTCGAAACCGTGGAATCAGTCCCTCAAAATAAGACGGAAGAGATAGTTGCCCCAGACATGCTTAGGTCATCTAAATGCTGGGTTTCTGCCTCAAAACGTACTTCATTTTCGACAAGACAGTCTATGAACAGGTGAACGGCTCACCGACTGGCTGACCAATTTCTGAGCTCAGCTGAGGGTGTCCTGTAATGGTTGAAGTTCCCGATCTTCAGGCACCACAAACCGAAATTCTGGACTCGATATACCAGTGACACCATCATCATCCACGAGGATCAATTAAAATAAGTTCTCAACACTGCCTTCTCCGATATGTAATTTACTATAGAGGAGGGAGAAAACGACCAGCTAGCCCCCGGTACCCTGTCTGCAGTCATACGCTGGAATTTAGGGCATGATCACCTGCGAGAGATCCATACTCCCACGCCCAACGGACTTTTGTCTGGGATCTTGTGTGAAAGAGGACTACAGCGTTGAATCACGTGCGAGTGGCCACAATTGCAAAATATGCCTCAAATCTACCACTTGGAGTTTGCATACGTAAGGCATGATTTACATTTCAATTTGGTCTCTTTCGCGTTCTGAGGAGGAGGCGGTATTTTGCGATATTCATCTTGGTCCGAACACTATGCAAATGGAAATTCGTCAACGACAAAACTGCGCACTCAGGAAGGAATTAAGTTTTTAAGACCAGGAGGGCCACTAGCCCGAGCCATTTTACGAAATGCAACGGACTGGTTACAAATTTTTGGGAGGTAGTGCCGTTTGTGATGCCCCCTAGTAATGTTTATGTAGGGACTCCTGCAAATTCGTTTTGCTGTTTTACTGCTCGCAGGCAAAACATACTAACTCACTAGCAATTAGTGAACTTGCAACTTCGACATAGATCGCCTTCTTGCGTGCTCTATCCAGAACAGGTCGTGCGTTTGTCAAAACGCGCAATCACCATAGGATGACCGCGTCGGCTCCATGTGCATAGACGCCCGACCCGGTCGATACAAATCCTAATTGAGTTTCAAAGAACACAGCAAATATCTTTATTCCCTTTCGTATGTCCTAAAATAAGGGACCTTCTTCAGCTCGGCATAGGAGTACGGATGAAACAA